GAGCAGGGCACGGGTGAAGACGCAATAGTTCCAGAGGACAAAGGGCGGTAGTTTTAACCGGGGAAGTGATTACTGGACTAGGGGGATGAGAAACGGTCAGATTCGAGGTAGATGTATTTTGAAAGCAGGATGGAGCCAGGAGGCTGACACAAAAAGACTGTTTGAGACCATCTTGGGCAACTTGGGAGAGAGGCTGAGGCAGGAGGATCGCTGTGAGCTTGACACCAGCATGGGCTACATACAGAGTTGAACTCAGCCTAAACTACATAGTGAGAAGCTAACAAAAAAGAAAGAAAACAGATTTAATTTTTCAAATCTTTGCAATTGCTTTAATTTGTATTGTTATGAAAATATAACCAAAGTGGGTATATCTTGAATACAGTTACATTTTAAATTTTTTTAGATCATTACTGATCAGAACAAAAATTAAGTGAACATCTTGATTATAAAATTAGTGATTTTGCTAAAATGAAAGCAAGGAAAAGAAATTTTACAGTTTATGACTCATGCATTATTTTTTTTCATGCATTATTTTATACTACCACTCGTCCAAAAATTCTAACATAGCATCACAACGTCCATATGTGCATATTAAATCTAATAACTTTTTTTTTGTTGTTTTTCTGAGACAAGGTCTCACTGTGTAGTTCAGGCTGGCTTTGAACTCAGTATATAGGCCAGGCTAACCTCGAACTTGCGGCAATCCTTGTGCCTCAGCCTCCAGAGTGCTGGGATTGCAGGTGTGTGCCACCATGTCCAACAAATCTAATAACTTTTTATATTTTGCTAGCTTACAATCAGATAGAAACTATAGCTTCACAATTTTAACTTGAATTTTTGGTTTTGTTGCCATTTTAAATACAAGGTTTTTAGACCTTCATTTATAGTTTAGACCCTGCAGCCATTAGGTACCTGGTCCTGGGTTATAGGTGGCTTCATTTATGGCTGAATCTCAAGAAAAAAAGAAAAACGCTATCAGGGTGGGATGGCTGCTGACAGTCAAATGCTATCCCAGCCTAGCAACCCTGGCAGAGGGCAGGCCTAATTCCGCAGTGTTTCTTATCAGTCTGCCTGTGTCACGGGCTCATCAGACAAGTCATGGCCCCCCCGGATTCTGAGGCTATAGCCAGAGAAGCAGCATTTCCTGCCCCCTTCCGCATCTGGGAGTTGGTACGGTAGCAGTTAAACTAAAACCCCCTGCACTGCTGCCTACGGCATCTATTGAAGTATGCACATTCATTTTATATTTATTGAGTTCATTAATTCTAATATTTTTCTGTTGTGTTGTGGGGTTGCCAGGTAGCCAATGCTATAAAATGCAAATGATGACATCACTGCCTTCTGATGTATAATGTTTGCTGTTCTGTGCTTTTTTATCATATTGTCTTGGACTCTCCAGACACTGGTGGAAGGCGACGACGCAGACACCCGTCTTGTCCCTCGCTCGAGCTGGACTTGCCTGCAGTGGCCCGCCCCTGAATGTCACTAACCGCCACGCTGACATCTGATGCTGACATTCCTCATCATTTCCACGTGAGGTCTGGCTGGCTCTCCTTAGCAAGCTTTTCAGAATCGAGGCTGCACCAATATGGACCCTGCCACCGCAGACGAGCAGCAAGCCAAGAAAGAAACAAAGCAGAAACCATCTTCCACTTGGTCAGACAAACTTCAAAACTCAGAACCTCTGCCAGTTGTAGGGCTGCAGGACTGAATCCCTGCTTTGCTCCTTCAAGCCAGAGACAACATGAGGCTGTGCAGAGCACTAACTGTGGTGAGAAATTTTATCTTTTATTGTCTTCAGCTTCCTTTGTTATATTTAGGTGGAAATGGTAAAAGTTTATGGTAAACACAGAAGCGAGCATTTAAGGTTTTGTAAGTGAAGGTCCATCTGATTTCAAAATTCGTGGCCTGTTTTATATACTTCTTTGCATGCTGCACTTCACAAGTTAAAGATGTTAAACACACCGATGGAGGAAAAGTCACTAGCAGCCAAGACAGCCAGAGGTAGAGACTGCTTGGAGAGTTGTAACCGAATAAGATCCGTGAGTAAGCTCTGATGTGGCAGAGACAGCGTCTATTTTATTTACCATTTCATCACTAGAGACCAGCACATAGTAAGTGCTCAGTAAATATTTGATCAGTTAAATTGGGTCAAAGATATACAGAACAATTTCCTGAAATTAAGTCACTGGAGCGTGGGTCTTACCAAATTCAGATTATATATAATTTTAAGAGAGATGAACAAGAAATTAATATCTGTTTGGGCCATGGTGAAAAGGAATGCTTACAGTGCTACACTTTTTGCTAATTCTATAACTACTGTAAGTAGCAGCAATTATTGTTAGTTATTCTTACTGTTTTTACTGTATTATTTTCACCCTCTCCCAGCATTTAGAGAGGCTGTAACAGTCAGGAAGCTGGACTTCAGACCTAGCTGATCCCCTCTGCTCAGGCAGGCTACCTTCTGTGACACGGAGGCTCACATTCATCTCTGCCTCCCATTCAGAATTCCGCCACATTCACGCTCTTTCACCTCCCTTCATTCCTTCTAAGATTCGTCACAGTTCATAGTTACCTTACTTGCTTGTTAGTTATCCGACCCCGTGAGAGAGACTTTGAGTACTTATTTTTCCAGTTTTTCACAGCTAAATCCTGGTGCTTCTGAACACAGTAGGTTCTTAAATATCTACTGAATGCAAAGACTGAACTGATACAAGTCCGTCTTTTATAAATTTAATTTTTGTGTGTGTGATTCTGAGGACTGAACCCAGGACTATACATGAAGCCACATTCCCAGTCTTGTTTTTTAATTTTATGTAGGGTCTCACTGAGTCACCAAGTTCCCCAGCTGGGCTCAAACTTGTATTCCTCCTGCCTCCGCCTTCTGGAGTGGTGGGATTGCAGGCATTCTCCACCACGCTGGGTCTCAACTCGAGCCCCTTGTGTAATACCAAAGGAAGGTAAGCTAAGAAATACGCTACTGTCTAAATGTGTGCGTTCTCCCAAAATTCTGTGTTGACACCTAGTCCCGAAAGTGAGAGCAGTTGGAGGTGGAGCCTTTGGGGAGGCGATTAAGATGTCAGCACCCTCATAAATGGAATTAGCGCCTTTATAAAGCCGGCACCAGAGCGCACCACTGCCCCCTGCTCCACAAGAGGACGCGGCACGAAGACAGCGGTGCACGATCGGGAAGCGAGCCTCGCCAGGCTCGGCCTCCCGGCACCTCGATCTTGGGGTTTCCGGCGTCCAGAAACGCGTGCTGTGTACAGCCACCCAGCGCGTGGGGTTTCGCTACAGCGGCCAACCGGACTAAGAGAGACCCTGCGAAGAGCCACTGAGTGATGTGGGACCCGCGGGGCAGAGTTCAGTAACAGCGCATGGTGACTCTGCTCCCGTCTCTTCCCTTAAACACTACTCGGAAGTGTTTGTAATTACGGTGCTTTCCCTATGCCAGCTACGGGGGAACAAACGATATTCTTCCAACTCCTCCCACTAACTGCTTCTACTGTCTTTCCAGAATTACAAGCACATAGGAATCCAAAAGGGTCACCAAGTTCATTAAGCAGCACCCAAGCCCAGCCCTGCCAAGACACTCGGGCTCAAGTAAAAGTGTGTTTATGGCAGTTCATTCAGCTGTTTCAGGAGCTAAGGACCTGAAAGTGTCAGGTCTGAGGGCACAGCTAGCTTTATTCTCTGGCGGAGTATAGCTGCTCATCCTGAAAAACACATTTCCTTAGCCGCAGTAAACATACACAAAAGAAATCGGACGGGACAGAACAAATCTCTTGTCACTGTGGCATAAACAGTTCAAGCTACATGCTCTAAAACAGTCACGTAAAAGTGTTTATTGGGAGTTTTAATAGCATAACAAATGTTTGCATATGCTGTGATAAAAACCAGTATAAAATTATATATGCACTTCAATAACAGGGAATCGTTTCAAGAGATGTCGGTAAGCCTGCAGGATGGAGCTGCACAGTCAGTAGGAATAAGAGAATACTCAGGAAGTGCGGAGCTGCTGTCAGGCCTCCTTTGCATCTGTCCTGCTTCTGCCAGGACAGGGAGGCACGCTCAAAGGAGGTGACTGAGGAAAGTAACTCCGTGAAAAGGTGTGCGCGGGACAGAGGGCGAAGGGAAGCGATGGAGACGCTGCCCGGGCTAGCCGCACAGGGAGCCCTCACGTTCCTGTCCTGAGGGCCAGGGAGGAGACAGTCACCTGAGAAAAACACAGTAACACCCACAGCTGCAGGAGCGGCCCCACGGCCACAGCTGGGACTTAGGAGACGGGTGATGCCTCTCCCAACCCAGAACCTGGCCAGGAAGGACCCGGGAAGAAAACACCTCAGTCTTCCTACCATGCCGCCGGCTGGCCTCCGATTACCTTCCAGAGGCAGAGGGCGAGACAGCCCACGGATGGAATGCGCAGAGGTGGGCCTCCCAGAGCACTGCCGGGAGAGCCAAATGGAGAATATCAGCCTGATCCCACATTTGGAAATGCATGAATGGCACAGGTCAGGTTCCCTGGCAGACACCGTCTGAGAGCTGAATGTGAGAGGTGCTCTGGAAGACCCTTGGGAGCGCTGGGTGGAGAGGGAAGCCGGTCTGGCAGAGGGAGCGCTGGGTGGACAGGGAAGCCGGTCTGGCAGAGGGAGGGGCTGATCTGTAACAAGCTGCCTTAGGGGCTTTGACCGTCCCTACTGGAGCTCTCGAACTGAGATGGCCCTTCAGAGCTGTCCCAAAGGAGGCAACAGCTGGGCTTTGGTGCCCCCTGAACAGTGGGTTCTCGGGTCCAGGCTGCCCCCACAAGGTGAGCGGTAACGCCGGAGAGAGCGCAGCAGCCAGCACTCCCGGCACTGGCAACTGAGCACGTCCCGGAAGGAGCGTCCAGCAGGCACAGCACAGCAGCCGGCAGCGGCGGACTTGGGGATTGCACTGTGGGTGTCTGCCGCTGCCTTTCTCTTTTTTGTCTGTTTACACTTCTGGTGTTCCAAATGTTCTAAAACAAGTGTGTATTAATTAAGAGCAGAGCTCTTCCTATACTGTAAGAGGGAGAATGAGTTGGAATTTATTTCTCTACCCCACAGAAGTTCATACTAGCAGTCCTCAGCTGGCACTACAGCTCCCTGACCAACAGGCACACTTAGACAGTCCGTCCGGTTGTTCTGTCCCTTCCATGGACGGCTGCCATCTCAGGGCTCAGGACGGCTGTTTGAGCTCCTGTCTTAATACCCGCACTCCAGCAGCAAGGGCGAGAGCGACAGTGGAGGGCATTCCCTCCCCCTTGAAGGGCACAGCCCAGACACTGCACAAATTGTTTCATTCATTCTCTGTTGGCTAGGCTTTGTGGATGTCTCAGTCAATTTGGACTGCTATAACAAAATACTCAAGACTGGGAAGTTTATAAACAACAGAAATGTATCGCTCATAGTTCCGAGGCTGAGGAGTCTAAGATCAAGGCAACAGCAGATTCAGTATCTGCTCAGGGCCTATTTCTCAAAGGCGGAGCCATCTGTGTGCCCCTCCCTGCAGGGCGCCCCTCCAAGTATGTCAAAGGGATACTAATCCCGTAACGGCTCTGCCCTCGTCACTTCCCCAAGGCCCTTCCTCCTAACACCACCGTCACATGGGGACGAGGCTCCAACCATGGGCGACACAAAACTTCAGACCACAGCAAGATTCTCTTGCACAGTTTAAATTCAGGGCTTCTATTAGTACAGAAAGAAGGGGACAATGAGACAGTGGGAGACCACGGTCAGTCTCTACCACAATATGCGTTTGTTTGGTAAACAGTAGATTTGCAGTAAAATGAGGGGACATTACAATTGTTCGCTGCGCTGCATATTCCTGGATTTAGATCAGATCGTTCTCTTCTTTGTGATTCCCACGGGGGTGTACATGACAGAAGGACCATGTCCTGGGAACACCTTCTATAGAATAAAGTCAGAGGCCAATGTGTTAATGTTTACTAATGCTTCAGTTTAATCAGTGTGACACTGAGTGTAGTTAACCCTTTAGTGCTGGGAATGGTCAGGAAACTTTCTCTCAAGACACATCGTCCAGAGGGGTCAGTTAACATTTTATTTAAAAGCTGCATTCCAGAAGCAGCTTCTATAAATTCTTCTGCCATCCAGGTCAATCATACTTTGTTAATTAGCATACTTTGTAAAAACTAGGTTTTTATTGGTAAATTAGTGACTTTTTAATTGGCATGATAAATGTTCCAAATGTATCACTGATGGTTAAATTAAAGGTTTTCAACCTGAACCTGGTGGTACACCCTGTAATCCCAGCACTTAGGAACCGCAGTGAGTTGAAGGCCAGTCTGGGCTACATAGTGAGTTGAAGGCCAGCCTGAACTACATAATAAGACCTTGTCACAAAGAGAAGGAAATTAAAGCTATTCAAAGTATGTGTATTGGTGCAAATGATTTAGAAACACTCTCCAGTCCTTGCACAAACATGGTACAATAAAAGAATCAAGATGCTTATAACATGTAACATCAGACATGACATTAAAGGTGTGGGTCTCTAGCTGATCTCATACCAGCTATTGCTCTCAGAGTTCTGAGAGATGAGACTGTTAGATCTATTTTCAGTACGTTTTGCACATAGGATGCGTAAAACTCAGGAGCTGAAATTGAACGGCTCATGCGATGACTCTACGAGGTAACTGGGCAGTGAGGGCTTGGTCCACCTAGGCGGACCAAGGTCCTCGTAGAAGAAACGTCACGCGGCACTCAGGGCTCTTGCCCTTCCACTTTCAGCCCGGTGAGGGCAGTTTTTCTCTCCTCCAGCAGGCACAGCAGAAAGGCATACCTCAGAACCAAGCCTCTCCAGACCGGTGAATCGGCTAGTACCTCGGTCTTGGACTCCTCAGTTTCTAGCTATGTGAGAAAATAATTTCTTCATAAGTTACCCAGTCATGAGCACTACAAACAAGGAATCAAAGCACTTACAAGAGTAGAGCACTGGAGCACCACCGCGTTTACACAGTTTGAATGAACTGCTTTGGACCACGCGCCAACCAAATGTTTGACTAGCAAATGTCTGTACGAGTGCTTGAATTTTGCCTGAATCCTGCTTTTATTATTACCTCACAGCTGCTTTGTGAGACAGCCACTAACCATAATCTCAAACCTCACTGATGGCTACTACCAATCTCCATAAAGAATCTAAAGGCTTTGCACGTCTAACTTGGCTCTGTAACATATACCCTGCTAGCCAGGCCCAATCAGAAGATATGAAAGAAAAGTTAGGATTTCAGCCTTCTGGAACGTTCTAGTTATTCAGAATTAATTTAGAGGAATATTTTCTCATTCTACTTTAGGAGTAGATATATTAATATTTTATCATGTGAACATTTCCCCCCGGGCTTGAGATGTGACCCAGTGGTAAAGCACTTGTCTAGCACGCACAAGGCCTTGAGCTCTGTCCGCACGTTCCACCCCAACCCAAGACAAAAAAGAATGAGAAAAAGAAAAACAAAAAATTTCCTTTAATTCCCCTTGATTAATTCATTTTATAATAAATATGCACTATTAGTTTTTACATACTTAAGTACGTAGAAAAATCCAAAGCATAGTCATGGTTTGTGAAATGCGGAATTCAGCGTCCACAGACAGAACACAGCTTTGTTAACGCATTTACACATCGACCGCGGCTGTGCAAGGGCAGAGCTGGGGGCTCACGCTAGAAACTGGCCACAAAGCCCACACTACTCACTGCCCAGCCGTTTACAGAGAAAAAGGTTTGCTAACCCTCCCCCGACGATGGAGGGTCAAACAGGTTAGAACTCTTACAGTGCTCTGAGGGGAAGCAGGTAACCACTAAACAAGCACAGATGCACCCAATGGCCACAGTGCTGCAGTATAGTAAGGGGGAGGCGACGGGGGGAGATGAGCGGTCGTCTGCAGGGAGGGGACCGTCGAGCGAAGACCCAGATGGCAGGAAGGACACAGTGATGTGAAGATGAGTAAGACTGTCCAGATGAAGTCCCCCGGGGAACTCTCCACGCGTGGGGTGTGGGGGCGCAGGAGAAGCCAGGGGAGGAAGGCGGGTGCAAGAGTAAATCCACTTCCCATGCTTCTGCAGATTTCCAGGAATGACAAGACCCTTTCTAGAACACAGCGGCAACGGCTGAAGAGTCACTCACAGCCACTCGGTCGATGTAAAAGACATCAGAAAGCAAGGCAGACTAAGAAGCGGAACCGCTTCCCTTAGTTCATTAGCTCCCGAAAAGGCAGCAAATAACTTGCAAAATTCTTTTCTCCTCCCACTTTTCATCTCCAAAAAATCTGAGAAAAGACGCAGTAGGTGGAAATAGGTTAAAGTAACAGGTAAACTTCACAGCACGGAAGGCCCACAGGCTGCAATCTGTGCACCATCGGTGCTGAGAGGTCACTGAAGTCCAACCCGCCACGCCCCTCCGCTGTCCCTAACGGCATCACTGCCACTCCGGAGCGAGGAGCTAGGTTTGTTTCCACGTCCGTTTACTGGGTGTCCTGGTTACGCACAGCACTGTGAACGTCAGCGTGGTAAGTGATTTAGGGAGGAGAAAATCCAACGCAGGCCGCCACTTCAGTTGTTACAAATGTGCTCACACATAAAGCTCATGATTACACAAAACAACTTCAATTTTAAAAGCTTTGCCTAAAACATCTAATTTTTGTGTTATCTGCTTGCAAAGCATTTATATACTTAGATATTTTCAGTGACCATGGTTGGAGGGAATCCAAATTTTTAAAACCAATATTCCAATTATCACAGACAAACAAAACCCTGTATCTTTTTAAGGAAAAACAAGCCTTTCAAAAGAAAAGAGAAATGTAATTAGAAATGTATCAAGGACTAAAAAATTGTTAGCTTGTTTCCTAAGAAACTGAAAATAGAACTGATACATACAACTTCCAAAGAAGCATAGATCTACTTTCCCTATTATTAAATTTTTCCAGTTCAAAATTTTTAGAATCACTAATTTCATGGTTGAAAAGGCCTTATGTGAAAAAAACCTTAAGTTCCTCCAGTTAACTGTGTCTGTAATGCTCCTGCTGGTGAAAACTGACCCTCATGAACAAGAGGGGGCGGGGGCTGCCCTTGGGCCACTAACTTACTCAGCAGCCAATACCACATTGCAATTCTCCACGCCAAGATAGGTGTCATAATAATAATTAATAAATCTGTGGGCATAACAGTTCTTTGACAACTAAATGGAGTTCATAAAACAAATGTAAGGTTGGGCATCAGGAAGTAAAATTCCTGGGGAAGGGTCTGGGGAAGTGGAGAGAGTAGAGTGAGAGAGAAGAAGATCAAAAATGGGCAAGATCCCCAACTGCAAACTGAGCTCACGCGCTTCACTATGTTCAGAGCTCCGTGAGTAGTTCTGAGACTGCAAGGTCCACATTTGGGTCTGGATGGAGCAGACACGAAGGAAACCAAGCATGAACGCTTGGGAATATGCAGTCAGCCCGTGAGCCTTACGCTCAGTCTCAAGCACTCCTACCATCGCCCTCTGACGAGCAGGCAGAAGGTCAGTGTGAGCTGCACCACGAAAGAGACTCCAGCTAACAGGCAGTAGACCGGACCAGTCACATGCACACACAGGCGTGTGACAGGAGGTGGCTCTAGAATTATGACCTGCACAGCCCCCACGCTGTCCTGCTAGCCTCCCACTACAGCCAGCGGCTCCCGTAAATGGACACGTGCACCTGGTGTTTTCCCCCGCCCGACCTGGCTGGGGCTGCGCCTCACAGCTGCAGCGCAGAGGCAACTGGGCCAAGCAGTGCAGAATGACTGCGACCCACGGCAGAATCTGCAGGGCAGCAAAATAAGGTGCTAGACGACACCCCGCACCTTTGAGTGCATCTGTTCCATTTCCGGAGTTCTGGGGCTCACAGGGCAGGAGGCCAAGAACATGAAGCCTGACTTTCTTCTCTTTGACTATCCAAATCCTAACTTTCCTCCTCAAATTTCCAACTCTTTTGTCCTTTCAATTCTTTTATTAGTACGTTTTCAGCACATGCATTTTACGATCATCTTGGGTAGTGGGAAAGGTACGGGGTACAGCTTTGTCTTTTTTTGATCTCCCTTTCTTTCCACCCTTCCCTCCCCGCTCCTCTAGTCCCCTTTCCCCCTCTCGTTCTTGTTGATATTATTACATCCAGTTCATGTTTACGGCATATAATGCTTACATTCATTGAGGTTTTAGGGTCCTGTACATGGTGCATCCTTATTCTCTTTATTTCCCCACACCCCCCTTCACCCCTCACCCTCGACCCCTTAGACCTCTTCCCATTTGCAAGAGATCGTCCCCTCATCTCCTTCTACTCTTGCTCTATTATTCTCTTTGTTTTACTTTGTCTCGGTCAAATGACAGATACTATACGGTATTTAAACTCATGTGTCTGGTTTACTTCACTAAACATATTTTCCAGGCGCATCCATTTCCTACAGACATCTCAAATTTCTCACTCTTTATAGGCAAGTAGTATTCCATGATATACACATGCCACATTTTCTTTATCCAGTTGTCCCCTGATGGGTACACAGGCTGCTTCCAGGATGAGCTCTTATAAATTGTGCTGCTATAAATATTGATCTGCATGTATCGCTGTAGTATGATGTCTTAAGCTTTCTGGGGAAGATACCTGGAAGGGGGATAGCTGGATTATATGGAATTTCTAAGTTTAGTTCTTTGATAAATCTCCATACTAATTTCCACAACGGTTGAACTAGTTTCCATTCCCACCAACAATATGAGTGTTCCTTTTCCACCACAGCCAAGCCAGCATTTGTTATTGCTTGATTTCTTGATGATAGCCATTCTTTCTGTAGTAAGGTGGAATCTTAGCAGTGTTTTAATTTGCAATTTTCAAATGGCCAAAGATGTTGAACATTTTTTCATATATTTGTTGACCATTTGTACCTCTTCCTCCGTGAAGTGTCTATTCATTTCTCTTGCCAGTTTTTTGACTGCATCTTTAATTTTAGGTGGTCCAATTTTCTTGAGTTCTTTTTACATTCTAGTTATTAGTCACATTCCTAATTCTTTAAGAAAACATGTTACGATCACTGCCTTCAACACTTCACAGTCTAGAGATATAAATGTGCTTCCAACCACTTAAAAGGTAGTGTTTATTCTGGGATAAAGATTATTTTGATAAATACTTTTCTAACAGGATTTGCAAGTCAAACCTTTCCTGTTGCTTAGAATTGGCAAATAGGTATCATTAAGTATCACCAAATTCTAAAAAGAGAAATGAAAAACAGGACCCTGACTTTTCTTCAAAAGCATTTTAGGAGATTGACAAACCTTTCCAGCCCTTAACGGAACAGGAGGAAGGGTAGGGAAGTCATGGGAACCCACAAGGACAGTTCTGCAACTATGTCCTCAGGCATACTATCTTGCTTAGCGGCGAACACAACCTGTGCAATTACAAAAACATAAAAACTGATAACTGAATCATTTAACCAAAAGTCATACCTAACAATACCAGGGATATGAAGGGGAAAAAAGAACAGTAGAAGCTGTATAAGTGAGTTACATTTTCATCTATCACAATAGAAAGTCACTAGAAAGTATTTAAAAATTAATAGTTTTAGGGGCTGGGGATTTAGCTCAGTGGCAAAGCGCCTGCCTGGCAAGTGCAAGGTTGTGAGTTTGGTTCCCGGTACCGGAGAAAAAAACCAAAAAAAAAAAAAAAAAAAAAAATTAATAGTTTTAGATAAGTTATTTTGAAATTGGGAGGGATAACCAAAGAAATCATTGAAACAATTTTGAAAAGTGGGATAGGACAAGTTGGAGAGGGGTCATTACTGATTCTTTTTATTTCTTAAGCACTATTTGACGTTTCAATCACTTGCAGGTACTATTTTCTTGAAAGTAAACAGCATATAGAAATAAAATGCAATATTTTTCTTTAGGAAAAATACTAATTTTTGTGGATGTCTTCTGTGTACTGTTTGTCAAATACGTTGCCTAGAGCAGCATGGACAGGACGCAGCTATCTTGAATTTCCACAAGTTGAGAAATATTTATCGAGTACAGTCTGAAGCGAGGGCCAAGCACAGGCGAGCATATCTGCATGGACTTCGGCAACGGCCAGAAGCTGACGTCAAGGAGGAACGGAACCGGCTACTAGGGCTCCGCTCCACATTCACAGAAGTAGATAAAGACCAGACAGACCTAACAAAGAAGACAGCATGCAAACCCACGAGACACGAGGCTCAGACATGCAGTGGCCGCTTAACGTGGGCCCAAA